TACAAATATACATATTTTAGGTGGTGAAATCGTAACAGCCTAACAATTTGGTATGCAACTTTATTAAATCAATAAAAAAAGTTATGCAAATTGGAAAAATAAATAAAAATATATCTTTTGTTGTTTTAATTAAGGAAATAAATATTTTATATGAATACTCACCTGGAAAAACGCATATTATAATTGTCTAATTTAATCGTAACAGCCTACCAATGTACTTTCTTCTTGACTGTTTGATTGTTTTTTTCTGTGTGCTGATTATAATTGTCTAATTTAATGTAATTTTTTTTTTTTAACTTGCAAGGTACAATGGAACATATTACTCCTATAAAGGAAATTGACTCAATCAAGGACAATGCTATAATCTGTAATTTATCATCTTTTAGTTTAATTTTCTAAATATATGTGTGGTTGTCTGTGTGTATCTCTTTAAAAATTCTGCAATTTCATCATTTTATGACCCCCATTTGCGAAGTTGAGTATTTATTTCCAAAAATGCGAAACTCCAGGGACAATATTTGAAAATTTCTGTTTTCTTCCCCAATTCGCATTCTACTGTGAAATACTTCGCATCTTCATTCTTACACCCTTCGCATCCCTTCGCATTAATCACCTTCGCATTTTAACCTAATTAATCAAATGCAAACCACAAAATTTTCATTCCAGATGCGAACACAGTTTAGTTCTTGAACTCTAAACTTGCGAAATCAAAAATTCATATGTTGAACCCATATGCGAATATTAACCCAATTGACTTCAAATTGATTCACAGATGCAAACACTCGATTGTTTTACTTTCGCAAAATGAGCATCAACAACTCCACAATCGAGTTTTTAAATTCTTGCAAACAACAATTTCACAGTCCTTGACTTTGCGTTTTTCTTCACGAATCATCCCTCAATCATCAATCCAATTGCGAATCAAAACTCATATGTTCTTGCTTTATCGATTCATCGACTACACTCATACAAATGCGAACAATACTCAATTTCAAAATCGATTGAAACTTATAGCAAAGCTAAATCCAACTTCGCATTCAAAGCACACAAGTGTTATTGATTGCATTCATCATTTTATGACCCCCATTTGCGAAGTTGAGTATTTATTTCCAAAAATGCGAAACTCCAGGGACAATATTTGAAAATTTCTGTTTTCTTCCCCAATTCGCATTCTACTGTGAAATACTTCGCATCTTCATTCTTACACCCTTCGCATCCCTTCGCATTAATCACCTTCGCATTTTAACCTAATTAATCAAATGCAAACCACAAAATTTTCATTCCAGATGCGAACACAGTTTAGTTCTTGAACTCTAAACTTGCGAAATCAAAAATTCATATGTTGAACCCATATGCGAATATTAACCCAATTGACTTCAAATTGATTCACAGATGCAAACACTCGATTGTTTTACTTTCGCAAAATGAGCATCAACAACTCCACAATCGAGTTTTTAAATTCTTGCAAACAATAATTTCACAGTCCTTGACTTCGCGTTTTTCTTCACGAATCATCCCTCAATCATCAATCCAATTGCGAATCAAAACTCATATGTTCTTGCTTTATCGATTCATCGACTACACTCATACAAATGCGAACAATACTCAATTTCAAAATCGATTGAAACTTATAGCAAAGCTAAATCCAACTTCGCATTCAAAGCACACAAGTGTTATTGATTGCATTCATCATTTTATGACCCCCATTTGCGAAGTTGAGTATTTATTTCCAAAAATGCGAAACTCCAGGGACAATATTTGAAAATTTCTGTTTTCTTCCCCAATTCGCATTCTACTGTGAAATACTTCGCATCTTCATTCTTACACCCTTCGCATCCCTTCGCATTAATCACCTTCGCATTTTAACCTAATTAATCAAATGCAAACCACAAAATTTTCATTCCAGATGCGAACACAGTTTAGTTCTTGAACTCTAAACTTGCGAAATCAAAAATTCATATGTTGAACCCATATGCGAATATTAACCCAATTGACTTCAAATTGATTCACAGAAGCAAACACTCGATTGTTTTACTTTCGCAAAATGAGCATCAACAACTCCACAATCGAGTTTTTAAATTCTTGCAAACAACAATTTCACAGTCCTTGACTTCGCGTTTTTCTTCACGAATCATCCCTCAATCATCAATCCAATTGCGAATCAAAACTCATATGTTCTTGCTTTATCGATTCATCGACTACACTCATACAAATGCGAACAATACTCAATTTCAAAATCGATTGAAACTTATAGCAAAGCTAAATCCAACTTCGCATTCAAAGCACACAAGTGTTATTGATTGCATTCATCATTTTATGACCCCCATTTGCGAAGTTGAGTATTTATTTCCAAAAATGCAAAACTCCAGGGACAATATTTGAAAATTTATGTTTTCTTCCCCAATTCGCATTCTACTGTGAAATACTTCGCATCTTCATTCTTACACCCTTCGCATCCCTTCGCATTAATCACCTTCGCATTTTAACCTAATTAATCAAATGCAAACCACAAAATTTTCATTCCAGATGCGAACACAGTTTAGTTCTTGAACTCTAAACTTGCGAAATCAAAAATTCATATGTTGAACCCATATGCGAATATTAACCCAATTGACTTCAAATTGATTCACAGATGCAAACACTCGATTGTTTTACTTTCGCAAAATGAGCATCAACAACTCCACAATCGAGTTTTTAAATTCTTGCAAACAACAATTTCACAGTCCTTGACTTCGCGTTTTTCTTCACGAATCATCCCTCAATCATCAATCCAATTGCGAATCAAAACTCATATGTTCTTGCTTTATCGATTCATCGACTACACTCATACAAATGCGAACAATACTCAATTTCAAAATCGATTGAAACTTATAGCAAAGCTAAATCCAACTTCGCATTCAAAGCACACAAGTGTTATTGATTGCATTCATGAAATACTAACAAGATAATATATTATAATACAAATATACGTATTTTAGGTGGTGAAATCGTAACAGCCTAACAATTTGGTATGCAACTTTATTAAATCAATAAAAAAAGTTATGCAAATTGGAAAAATAAATAAAAATATATCTTTTGTTGTTTTAATTAAGGAAATAAATATTTTATATGAATACTCACCTGGAAAAACGCATATTATAATTGTCTAATTTAATCGTAACAGCCTACCAATGTACTTTCTTCTTGACTGTTTGATTGTTTTTTTCTGTGTGCTGATTATAATTGTCTAATTTAATGTAAATTTTTTTTTTTTTTTAACTTGCAAGGTACAATGGAACATATTACTCCTATAAAGGAAATTGACTCAATCAAGGACAATGCTATAATCTGTAATTTATCATCTTTTAATTTAATTTTCTAAATATATGTGTGGTTGTCTATGTGTGTATCTCTTTAAAAATTCTGCAATTTCATCATTTTATGACCCCCATTTGTGAAGTTGAGTATTTATTTCCAAAAATGCGAAACTCCAGGGACAATATTTGAAAATTTCTGTTTTCTTCCCCAATTCGCATTCTACTGTGAAATACTTCGCATCTTCATTCTTACACCCTTCGCATCCCTTCGCATTAATCACCTTCGCATTTTAACCTAATTAATCAAATGCAAACCACAAAATTTTCATTCCAGATGCGAACACAGTTTAGTTCTTGAACTCTAAACTTGCGAAATCAAAAATTCATATGTTGAACCCATATGCGAATATTAACCCAATTGAATTTAAATTGATTCACAGATGCAAACACTCGATTGTTTTACTTCGCATCCCTTCGCATTAATCACCTTCTAACATTGAAGACTTGTTTGAACCTTTGGAGGTACTTTACATTATTTTTAAAATTGTTAGTTTAATGCACTTATGTTTTTAAATTTTAAATGTTTTTTCATATTTAGAGTATATTGTTATAACTAAACTAAAATACACTTTCGCAAAATAACATTTATTAACAATGAGCATTATTTTAATATTCAGGAAAAGACAGTCATTATTGTTGGTACTGTTAAGGGAATACGTGATTATCCAAGGTTGGTTTGTTTCTCAAACATCCCGTGTTTTCACATGGCCAATTGTATGTTGCTTTATCTAGAGTTCAAAGTAGGGACGGATTAAAATTGTTAATTTTAGATAAGGATGGTAGTCTCACAAATAAAACTTCCAATGTCGTTTATGAGGAAGTTTTTGGGAATTTATAAAAATGCTTTTCTACCATCTTTTATTTACTTTTCTACCATCTTTTATTTACTTTTCTTGTATCGTACTTCATCTATCATATTAATTAATTAATTTTTACAACTTTATTGTATTTGACTTATTCATATTAATGCTAATATCACTATTCTTCATTTTTTCTAAACTTTCATATCTTTTTTTTGTTACAAATTAAAAACTATAATTATATTTCAATTTATCACCAGTGGATTTCCACGGGTTTAAACCTAGTATATATATATATATATATATATATATATATATATATATATATATATATATAATTGGGGGATTATTTATATCAATCTTTTAGCCACTGTATAAGGGTAGACAATTTTAATATATATATATATATATATATATATATATATATATATATTCATCATTTTGTTTATATATTTTGATTTTTTTTTAAAAGTACTTAATATTTACACATTAATATTTAATCTTTTCTGTAAAAAAAATACTTAATGTTTATATCTTCATATATAAATTTTTTTAATCATGTATACACCTAGTTAAATGAATAAATAACAGGTTGAATTGAGTTTTATATGAGAAATCAAGGATGTTTGTTAACTGCTAGAATGTTAAGTTTAGCCATTGCTGATGTTATAGAGGTTTGTTATATGCTAGAATGGATTTACTTTGAGCCCAAAGAAGATAAAAGGATATGTTTTAAATTTTACCAGATACAAAAAAGTTGAAACATACCAAAAGGATTTTAATTTCCTTAAATTCCAAATAGATTGCCATTCCATTTCCTTAAAAGGATATGTTTTGTTAGCTATCAAACAATCTTTGGATAAAGGTATTTAGACATAAACAAGTTTTTCATCTCATTCCACCCAATGGAATTTTTTCCATCGACTGTCTTGCTTAGCTCTTGGATACCTTGCCACCATTTGAAAGCCTCTCCTTCAAGTGGCAATGTGCATCTGACTACAACTTCTACTTGTTTATCCATGGCGACATCACAATACTCAAAACCACTTTCTACATCTTCTATCCAATAGTAAAATTCATCTTCATCAAAATCTTCATTAAAAATTGGTAGAAGTGACTCTGGTTTGATAGATCTTGGTTTCTCCTCTGGAAACTGAATCATCTCTAACGGATGATGTACCTTGTATAGATATTTTGGCAACTCCTCGTCCATATATTCTACACAAGCGCCAAGACTTTCAATCATGTTTGAAATAGACCAAACATCCCTCATACATTTATTTAAATCGTTCACCAAAGTTAAAGTGGTACTGAAAAATATAAACAAATGTAAACTTTAGAATGCAAACCGATTAAATCCAAAACAATGGAAACTTTAAAGAATATAAAAATCTGTGAAACTTCTTTATCATTGTCTAATGCCCATATTTTTAAAATATTATCATTCAAAAATGAATTAAAATATCCAGTAAGTAACCTGGATTCACAGTTTCCTTGATCCATGTCTTGTGTCACCTTCCCTGCATCAAAGAATTTAGATTCAGCATAACAAACAATTCCCAGTAAAAATCAATGTGCATCATTTCTGCAAAGGGGTTATTTTTTTCAAACACAACTCTAAACTTGGAATAAAATATAAACTCATCCTAATAAAACCTTAAAACTTTGAACAAAAGGATTTAAACCTTATTCTTTCAATACTATTTCTCTTTTTGAAACATATATATATATATATATAAAGAGAGAGAGAGAGAGAGAGGGAGAGAGAGAGAGAGAGTTCTATGTAACAACAACTTCATCAGTATAAAGCATCCGAAAAAAAAATAGCCAGACGTCAAAACTCTACACCTAGTCAGATTGATGACAAATCTAGGGTTTTGGCTGTTCCGTTCTCCATAGAAGAAGCCAATACCCGTGCACAACTTATTAACTAAGTAGTTAGCATCACCACGTGGAGATTCTAAATAACTTGTTCTGTGTGGATATTCTAAATAACTTGTTCTGTGTGTTGATTTTAAACTATTTGACTTTGCATTCTAAAGATTTTATATACAAGCATGATTTTTTTATATGATTCGTGTCTGTGTATCTAAAACTCTAATTGAACATATTTACAGTAACTTCTTGCAAAAGAATACATCCAAACCTGAGTCATTCTTCATTTCCCCATCCATCTGCAGTTTGTTGACTTTTGAACCCTGCTGCACAATAGAATTAGAAAGCTCATCTTAATTAAGAGAACAAAAACCAAAGCCCAAAATCAATACAATTGCCTTGTGATATACATATGCATAAATAATTCACCAAATCCCAGATCAACTTGTCCAATCATTGTTAATCGATTTAAGCTATATTGATGCAGATTACATATGCTCATGGTATGAGTGTACAGATGTGCATAAACTGACGTACTCATACTTAAGTTGCTGTAGATTGGTTATTCAGAGATGCCTCTGGGTTGGAAATGGTAAAAACAAAAACAAAAAAAAAACCACCAAGACGATTTATTTATTTCTTATATGTAAAATGCAAGAACAAACAAAATCCATAATAGCAGCAAACAGAATAAAACCAATCAAGAAAGTTAACAAATACCAAAAGTATGTTACCAAGAGATTATTTATTTATGTATTCCATCCAATTACTCGGCATATCCATGAAACAAGCATATAAAACCATGGTGAAATCAGAAATTTTACATTAATATTCGACTTTTCTTGTCCCCCTTCAAACCAAACCTAACCAAACTACGATGAAAATGAAAATGAAACAACTTTGTAAAGGCATAAAACTAATTTTTCGATCAATTTGAAACATCTTTATGCCTAAATTTGATGCAAAATAAATAGACTTAGTTTATTTAGAGTCGATGAATCATTGAAACTTATATCAGAAAGAAAAAGAAACACAGAAAACAAACCCTAGAAAATAACTAAACAAAACCATTGTCCTCGAATCGGGATCGGGATCCGTATCATAAATCACACAGTAATGAAATTAGTAGACTCGGAAGATTAGGATTTACCGTTATAAAGTGAAGCAATCGTCCCCTGATTTGCCGGCTTCTCCTCCGCCTCTACGCTGTACTCCAGCCCTAAGGTGGAGATGAATCAATTTTTATACGCGTAAGCCGTAACATCAAACCCTATCCACCGGGCCGAGGCCCATTGATTCTAAATAAATTATTTGATAAAACAAAAAAATAAAAGTAGATTAATAAGTTAAAAAAATAATATTGAAAATGAAACATACAAAGTTAATTTGAAATTCTATCGATAAGTTTATCATTTTTACCTAAAATTTAAATCATTTTTCAAATTTAACTTTGGATAATTTGAGCAAAAAATCATTATATTGTCTGAGTTGACCCTAGGCCACAACGTTGAACGCATGATGTAAAATTTCCAAAAAAATTAGGTATTGGATCATGTGGGCATTTGGCTAATATAAAATTTCCAAAAAAAAAAACATATAACTTTAACATTAAGAAGTTGGATTTGTCGACTTTAAATCTAAAAATTATTCATGTTATACCACGGTCAGTCCGTTGATTTTAGGGACCCAGTGCAAAATAAAAAAGAGGGCCCTAAATATATATTTATTTTTACTTATAGCAAAAATTCATTAATTATTCCATAACTATTATAATATGAAGCAAAACAAAAGAACGATCATACAATAGATAATCTTAGACAACTACATGAATCGCGAGACTCCTAGTATTCTTGGAAGCAAAATTGTTCACTAACTCTTCATAATCAATAGTCTCTAATATATCTTTCTCAACAACTATTGTTTGCTTCATTTCCTACATTCATCATAGCATTGTTTCCTTCAAGTACACGGACACTTGATGAACTTGTACATTGTTATCATCATAATCAATCTTACATTTTTCAAACAAATTATAAAATTAAACTGCACATATTCATAATTGAATACACATGCATCAAACCAAAAAAAATCAACAGCTTCAATAGTACCATACTCAACACATAATTTTTTACTCATACATTAAACATTCACTCACGCATCCATATCGCTTCAATTTTTATTTTCCAATATCAAAGTATGGACCTAGCAGGAATACAATTTTCAATATTAACCATAAAACAAATTTTTTTAATGTGAAGCAAATTAGATTTACCATATAAAATTTAATCATTAACCTATTCCATTTTTCCAAGTTCAATCATACTAGTGTTTTCCATATACTCACATATGAATTAAACTTCATAATCCATTGCATTATTTGTTACATCCTTCATATTCATCACCAAATACGATAATAAAAAAACTCTATCACATACTCTTAATTCACATTTGAATATTATTCCATTCCAAACAGAATATTGACTCATATAGTACACATTCATACACAACGCGGAATAACAGTTTTGAATATTACTCAAAGTATTGAACTAAGATGAATACAATTTTCAATATTAAACATAAAAAACATAATTTCTTAATTTGAAGCAACTTAGCTTTACCATATACCATTTAATCATTTACCTATTCCATTTTTCCAAGTTCAATCATACTAATGTTTTCCATATACTCACATATGAATTACACTTCCCTAATGCATAACAAATCTCAACAATTTCACTGTTTAGATGCTCAACTGTTTACAACCTTCATAATCTATTGCATTATTTGTTTACATCCTTCATAATCATCACCAAATAAGATAATCAAAAAACTATATCTCATACTCTTACTTAACATCTGAATATGAATTCATTCCAAACGGAATATTGACTCAAATAATACACATGCACACACACACACAAAATCTTTCACAGTCAAGACCCTATCAATTAACTGCAACTAAATTGAAAAAGCAAACCTACTTTCATTGAACAATAACATCCAGTACCAAATACTTGGGCCGGCTTTGTATATTTATATTTGAGATTGTATTTTCCTAAAAAGTCTGAATAATTATTGGAATTTATGATTGTTTAACAAGAAATATAGAGCTAATTAAAATCGTTAACATGTTTTATGAAGTGTTGAACCCAAACCACCCCATCCCCATTACCTTTTACAAAAACATTTTTTTTTAGAAAAAATAACTACATATTCAACAATTTATGTAAAAGACCGCTCCTGTTTTTTTTTCTTTCAAAAAATTCACTTGTAATTTTGAAAGGTTTTAGAAAAAACCATTCATATTTAAATAATATTTTAGAAAACCATTTTTTTATTTTTTTTTCCTTTTCAAAATGCTATGTAATTTCTAACCATAAAACATAATTTCTTAACAACCATGAGTGAGAATGGTTGGTTTTTTTTTTTTTTTTTTTTTTTTTGTTAAACCAAATCCATAAATTTTGATTTTTTTTTTTTGGAAAATACAAAACCATTTGTTTTTTTGTTTAAGTTTTTCGTTTTTTTATTTACTTTTTGTGGGTTTTGTTTTTTTTTTTTTATTTATTTCAAAGATTTCTTCGTCAACAAGTGCTGTTAAATTTAACACAAATACATAATTTGCTTAAACTTAGTATAAGAGGAAGTTTGTTCACATTTAGTTATTGGACTTTTGTGAGAGGGTAATGAGCTTTCATTTATGTTCACATTTAGTCATTGAATTTTAAGGATGATTGTTTATATAACAAAATCAACTTAATCAAGTAAATAGGATATGGTTTCAGCTTTATTCCATGGAAGTATATTAGAGAGTACAAGAGTTGTGTTCGTGAAATGAAAGTTACATACTCTCACTATACATAGCCCATTTATAGGGAACATGGAATACAAAAAATACAAGGACTAGACATGAATATTGAAACACAAGATGCCTTGTAAATACATTACATGTTGAATATCACTTACTTCGATATTCCATACACTTTCGAAACTGACAAATACATATTCTACATTTACATCACAACTTAGACTCTACATTATTCCCCTTTGTGATGTGGCTTCAATTCTTCAGGCTTTAGGTATAGTCCTTATTATATGTATCAACATTTTTCAATTCTCCAAGTACCATAGAATGATCTTTCGAATAAGAGCCTTGTCATCATTATCATTCTTCTGGCACTTTCCAATCCAGAGCAGAATACTTGAAAGATGCTGGTTCAAGTATCTCTCTACATCGTCTACTTGAAACAAAAACTTATTTGTGTTGTTCTTTCCCCCTCCCAGTGAAGACTACTCTCAAAAGATCATGTACGATTTCCCTGTCTTCATAGTCTTGAATATAAAATGTTCCTTTCAAGAGATTTTTGGGGACTTTGGATCTCCTTTTGAAAATTCCAGCAAGATCAATATCAGTTAATGCCAGGTGTGCGAAATAAGCATCCAAAAATGCTTTGATATCGATATCCACTTATATAAGTTGGCTTATCAAGGATTTCATCCTTCTTCAATTCACCCATCAGTCTTGTCACCGTTATCAAATCTGTAACACCCCATTAATTTAATTAATTAATTAGTTAATGTATAATAGCCCTAAAAACCATAATTATATAACAAAGTGTTGATTTTGAAGAGTTATCTGGCACAATTTAGAAGTAAGGGGTTTAAAGTGTAAGTTATGAATTAGTTTTGTAAGTATTTATGAATACAGGGGCTAAATGGTAACTTCTGGGACTTCATTGGAAGAGATTTTGGGGCTAAGGGGTTGTTTGGTAAATTAGGGATCGAATTTGGGAGAAATTATGGAAGCAGGGGGTGAAATTGGTAAATATCGGATTAATGTTGTAAGAAAATGATATGGGAGGGGGTATTTATGCCATTATGGCATTAAGTTTCATAGGGCACGAGTATAAAGCCCATACAAACCCTAACCCTAATAGAAAACCCTCTAGTCGTCACCCCTTATGCCTCCCACCAGTCGCCACCTTCCCTTCCATTTTCCGGCGTCGCCACCACCATGTCGAGGTTGCTAGTCACCGAGCCAAGTGCCACTGTCGCCCTTTTTCCCATTGTGACTGGAGATGAAGACCATTGGAGGGCTTTGTGTAGTCAGACGTGGAGAGGGCCAAGTCACAGCCACCATGTTGTTGTGGTTGTTCCTGCTGGAATACGTGCCCACCACCGGACGCCATGACCTTCCTTGCCGGAGAAACGAGTCGCAGAGGAGCCACTGCCCTCAGTTGAAGTCCGCTGCCACCACTTCTTCTTCTTCTCTTCTTTCTGCTAGCCCACTTGTCGTTACGCCATCGTTGCCGCTATCTCCGGCCAATACCGTCGTTGTGCGTTGTTGCCAGTTCTCGTGAATAGTTTAGTTGAAGGTGTTGTGGTGTCCATGGGTTGTTGTCCCACTGTGAACCGCTGCCACATGCCAAGATCCTCGTTACGCCGCCACCGTTGTCACCGTTTTGTGCTTCTGTCGTCGCCAATCGCCACTAGGAGGGTGGTTGGATCCGCTTGCAAGCAAGAAAGTGTATGGGTGTTTGTTTTGTTGTAGTGTATGTTATGTGTGTAACTTGTTTGGCTAGAAAACCTAAAACAACCACCACCACTACCGTGAGGTGGTGGCTGCCGCCACTAGCCACCGTCGGCCACCATAAGGTGGTTGTGTGTGTGTGTGTTTAGCTTAGTTGTCTGAGTTATTTTGGAGATTAGCATTGTAAAATGTAATTAGAAATGTGAATAATGAAAAGAAACCCTAACCACCACCGTGAGGTGGTGGCTGCCGCCATCGGTCGCCGTGTCGGGTGGCGGTGTGCTTTGCCTTGTTGTGTTTGACTCGGTTGGGGTGCTTGAAATCCTAATGGGCCCAATGAACCCTAATGGCCTAGGAAACCCTAAAGGGCTTAAGGACTTGGTTTTGGGCCTATTGGGCTATGAATGGATTGGAAACCCAAATTTTAGATATATGGGCTTTAGATCAATTGGAACCCGCACTAAACTCGTTTATTAAATTAAAATATTAATTAATAACCATTTGCAATTAACCTAAGGCCATGTGAGACTTAATGGATTAAGTCCTTAATGGGGTAAGTGAGAAAAACTTAACCCTAATCGTTATTTTATGTGAAACCCTAATTTCACTTGGATTTATTGTTGGGCCTTTCTTTTGGGCCTTGATGATTGGGTTATTAACGGGCCATCCCAGATCAAGCAAATGGACTAGAATTGTAACATCCCAAAAATACAGTCTAAAAATTTCGTTTTAAATTAGTAATAAAACCATATTCATCAAACGT